GCCGTATACCCCCCACATACATCCCGTAGGCGTTTGCCTTTCCTGCTACGAGTACGAGCCGAGATTGACCTGAGATTGAGCCCGCCGAGCAAAGTTCCCGCCTGCTCGCATTTCTGCTACTCTCCCACGCTGTGTCCGCAGCCGTTAGGGCCACTCTGAGCGCTGGCCTGCACCCCCCATCGAGCGCTGGCCTGCACTTCCCATCGGGGACACCACCTTCAACCGCTTCTTGCCTCTCTGCAGGAATTCTTTCGATCAACATGCTCAATCTCGAGTTCGTGCCGGCCCCCGGTAACAAGCTCGTGCTCAAGCTCTCTCCTCCGCCGCCGCTTGCTGACAAGCAGGTGTGCGTTAATTTGCAGTGGCTGAGGGAGGGGGTATGCACGCGCGCACCGCGGCAACGCACGCAACGCTGCGCTTTCCCTGCAAGACGACCCTCTCTCGTTCTGTGGCTGACAGGCGTCTCTGGCGGACAACACGACCGTCATCGACTCTGGCGGCGGCAACGCCGTCGGCATCCCCTCCGAGCCCGTCTCGCTCAAGGATGGCATCGACACCGGCACCGCCAGCACTGGCACCGGCACCGTCCCGCCCGAGCCCGGCCCGCTCAAGGACGGCATTGACGCGGGCGGCGGCAACGTCGAGGGCGAGTCTTCGCCGATGACGTCCTCCGCGAAGGTCGGAATCGTGCCGGCTGACGACGGCCGCATCACGCTCGTCATCTCCGCGTCGGTGTCGCCCTCGCTCCCCGGAGCCAAGGTGCGCGTGCGCACGCTAGGATCGTGATCATTCCCTCTCCCGTCTCCGAAAGCCTGCGCGTACTCTCCCTCGCCCACAGGCGTGCGGCGTCAAGAACGTCAACATCTCCGTGGCAAAGTCTGGCCCGGAGGGCGTCCTCAAGAAGGACCCGGCCGCGGAAAAGGCGCCCGACGCGGGCGCGGTCGGCTCGGACAAGGCCAAGGCCATGTCCGCCGCCCACGCGCCGAGCCCGCCCGCAGTTTTCTGGTCTAAGTTTACGCGCCCGGCCGGCCCATCGACGGCCCCCACCGGTGCCGTCAAGGGCGCCCTCAAGAAGGACATCCCTGCGGCAGAGTCTGGCGCGGAGGCCTCCGTTGACGAGACCGGCGCCATCAAGATCGACCCGGCGCTCAAGCTCGCCACCAAGGTCGCCACGGCCCTCAAGCCGGCGGCGGCCGGCGGCGCGCCGCTGCCTTCTATCAAAGCCCCGGCGGCGAGCGCCTGGCATTCTGCGCGCCGGCGTCTGCCGACCCACTATGTGACCGCATCCCGCGTTCGACGCGTAGGGCGACGCCGACTGTTCGACCAAGGAGTTTCCAGAGGAGACGGCCGCCCCGGCGGTGAGCACCTCCCAGCACCCTTCTGTGCACACGCGAGTATTGCGGGGACACGCGAGTCCTACAGGCGGGCACTTACATTGACCCTGTGACCTCTCGTCTGCCGCACGTCACGCGCAGGGCATCGACGAGTGGAAGACCCCCTCCCCGCTCCGCAAGATCGAGCGCAAGGGCGAGTCCAACCTGATCGACCGCTCCAAGAAGACCACCAAGAACCTCACCCCGATCGGCCGCGTCGACCCCAACGGGTTCGCGGCTCTGCTCGGAACGGACCTCGACGAGGAAGACCTCGCTGACGTCGGCTCCGGCAACGCGTTCGACGACGAGGAAGACCTCGCTGGCGTCGGCTCCGGCGAAGCGTCTGTCGGCGACGCCCCGCCGACGTCGTCGACGCCTTCGGCGCGTACTTGCCCGTGCAGCGCGCTCTGCTCGTGACTAACCCTCGTCCGCACTGTTCCAGGAGACGGAGCCGACCTCGACGCGCTCCGGTTTCCGCTTCGGCAAGTTCTGCTCGACAAAGCTACTGTGCATCTTCTTCTCCGTGGTGATCGGTCTGGGCTGCTCGGCCTTTGCTCTGTCTTCCTACGGCTCTGCCGGCGTCTCCGAGCTCCTCGACGCGGTGTCCGTGCCCGACGCGGTCGCGATCCCGGTGAGCAATAGAACTGGAGCGCAATGGCTCCCAGCACGCCCTGACTCTCCGTCGCGTGCGCTCGTGTATATCTCGCAGGTTCTCGACCTCTCCAACACCACGCCAAAGAACGAGTTCAGCCCGACGGTGCGCGGAACGGCGTTTGCACCGTCTGCGGCGCTCCCGATCTCGAGCGGGCGGCGATGGCCCCGCGACGCGGCGCGGGATGGCGCCCGCCTCTCGCTTGGCGACATGGCTCGGGTCGGGGCCGCCGCGTCGGCGCACGCGATCGGCGAGTGTGAGGACGCGACCGAAGAGTGCAACGAGTGCACGACCGGCTGCAACGCATCCTCGCTCAACTCGGCGACGGGCGAGGGCGTCGCCCGGTACGCCGGCTTCTCGCGGGCCCGGACATCGGGGGCAGCTCCGGCGGAAAGCATGGCAGAGACGCGGTGCTCTGACGCAGTCGTCTGCCGCGATGAGATCTCGTGGTCGAGCGCGTCGCCGCGCACCAACTTCACGCAGCTCCTGCCTCAGACTAGCCACGGCGACAACGTGCGCCGCAAATCCATCCTCGACAAGATCACCAGTCTCATGGCGCTCGTGCAGGGCTCGCTCCGCTGCGCGCTCGCCTCGGGCACATCCGACGCGGTCACCCCCATGCTGCTCCTTGTGCTCGCCCTGCTGCTCCTTCTCTGGCCGCCCACCCTCCGTCCCGTGAATTTCGCCCCACGTCCGCTCTCGGTCCCCATGACCGTTAGCGCGTTCCTGACGCTCGCCCGCCCGCCGCCTCGAGGAGCAAGGGGAGGAGACGGCAGCGGATATCGTCGACGGCTTCCTCAAGCAGCACGCGGACTTCGTCGCCGAGCTGCGGCGTGCAAACCTTGATGAGAAGGTCATCAAGGCGATGCTCGAGCTCGGGCAGGATTTTCGGCTGCCGGCGCTCGCGTAAGGCGAACGAGCGTCAATGGCATCTCTCCGCCTAACTCCATGTACTCCCAAGCATCGCACTCTCTTGCCCTAAGGCGTAAGGCGAACGAGCGTCGGCGGCATCACCTCGCCTACTCCTATCCGCGACTCCCCAGCATCGCATTCTCTCACCGCCCTGCCGCCGCCACCGGACGGCGCCGTCGAGCGCCGCCGCCTTGCCGGCCGCGGCCGCGCTCTCGCGCTATCCTCCTGCCAGCTGCAGGCCAGGGCGGCGGCGTGCGGCTTTTCGCCGCCAGCGGCGCCGCCTCCCTCCGCCTCGCCGTCGCCGCCGCCTCCCTCCGTGTCGCCGTCGCCGCCGCCGCCCACGCCGCCGCCGCCTGCAACCCCGCCGCCGGCGGCGCCGCCGCCCACGCCGCCGCCGCCATCCGGCTCGCCGTCGCCGCCGCCGCCCACGCCGCCGCCACCTGCTCCCCCGCCGCCGTCCGCCTCGCCGTCGCCCCCGCCTCCCTCGGCATCGCCGTCGCCGCCGCCGCCTCCTTCGCCGCCGCCTCCTTCGCCGTCGCCGACGACCCCGCCGCCTCCTTTGCCGCCGCCGCCAACGCACCCCGTCCCCACTCCCACCGCCAACAGCTGAATGCGGACGGTTTTGGGGTTGGCTGGTACCACAAGCGGGGCGGCGCAATCTTCCGGTCGGTGACGGCCGCGTGGAACAACAGCAACCTGCGGGAGCTCTCCGAGTCCATCGAGTCACGCTGCATCTTTGCGCACGTGCGCGCCGCATCGGGCTCTGTTATCTCCGAGGTGAACTGCCACCCATTCCGCTACGGCGTTCAGGCCTGGAGGTGCCGTGCCGACGCAGCCGTGAACCGCGTCTCTTTACCGTTGCTGTTGTCACAGGCCGTCTGCTCTTCCAGCACAACGGACACGTCGAGGGCTTTGACCGCATCAAGCGGCGAGTGTTCGCTGCGATGCGCGATGACGTCCGCCACCTGCTGCAAGCGACTCGGCTTCTGGCGCCTCTCGGTTCACCTCGCATGACCGCTGCAGGTGTACCACTGGGTGCAGGGCACTACCGACTCGGAGGCGTGCTTTGCCCTCATCCTCTCCCTCATCGAGCCAGAGCTGCTTGCCGGTGGCGAGTGCGTGCCAGTGGCCGTGCTGCGCAAGGCGATGCTCAGCGCCATCGCAACACTCCGGGGCTTCCTCGCGGATGCGGGCGTGGTGGAGGGCGCTTCGACAGTTCTAAGCGGAGCGGGCCATGAATGGCATGTCGTCACAGCATCGGCCTCGAACGGCAGTTCAACTTTGCCCTGACGGACGGCAGTTCAGTGCGGCGGCGGCAGACTGCCAGCTGCACTGTGCGCGCATATTCCTCGTACACCTCTTGCTGTGAGCAGGTGGTGGTGGCGCGCTACTGCGACAAGGCTCCCGACATCCCGCCACCCTCTCTCTACTACGCGTTTGCGTCATCGCACCAGCTTCAGCTGCAACTGAGCCAGGCCTTGACCTCCAGCCGAGATGATGCTCAGGAACACACCTTTCGAAATCAGGCCCGTCTAAGCAGGTCCCGCACGGGCAGCTCACTCCGGGGCACGGCGCCACCGGGTTCGCTGTCGTCTTCTTATAGCCGATTGGCGTCTCGGCGCCGCATGCGTCTTCTGTGAGTAGGCTGAACCGCTTGTGTGCCGAGGGCGGCGAGGCGCCACAGAACCCAGGGCACGGCTCAACTTTTGGCTGCACCTGCCCAAAGTGCCGCAAGCTCGAGCAGACTGTAGAGGGCGGCGCCTTCATCTGTGCGTCTGAGCCACTCACCACCAATACAAGCGAGTGGTTCTTGATGAAGGAGGAGAGTAGATGCTGTCGGATAGAGCGCTTCTCTGGAACGGGAGGGAGGGGCAAATAGCATTCGGGCGGCGGGTCGCGGAACCTAGGACCAGCCCCTCGCGCGACGTCGCCGCCAGGAGAACTCGATGATCTCATTCACGGCGGGAACGCCTAGCGCGGACGACGAATCCGAGGCTGAGGAGTGCTCGCGGCTCAAGGCGATGCGTCTAGACCAGGCAACGCCTTGCCAACGGGTCAGAGAATCGGCCGATCTCGCTCGATCTCCCCCTCTTCTCGATCGCAGGCTGCCTTCTCCAAGGCCGTCTCTACCAAGGCTGCACGTAACCCCACCGTCACGACCTCGCCAGCGGTGCCGGCACAGAGCCCGAAGCGAAGGAGCAGTTGGGAAGCGCTAAGGTCCTTCGTCGACGAGCAGGGAGCCAGGCGCACCGCCCGTGCCGTTGCCCCAGCGCCCGCGCGGCGCCGCCCCACACGACACGGCGCTGACGCGTCTCGAATGATTCACTCAGGCCGGGGCCGGAGGCGGAGGCGGAGGCGCGCGCGCGCGAAGACCCGAAGTCCAACCTAGGTCCGTTGACCGTTGCCCCTCCTGCCGCACCACCGGGCCTTGTGCCGCGCCACCGGCGCCACCGCCCCCTCCCACCGCCCTGGTTTTGCGCGCGTCCTCTTCACAGACGTCGTCAGCCTCGACTAGCGCCTCGCGCCGCGCTGCACGACGGTCTCCGACGAGGCGTTTCACTCCCGATGCATGTGTTCGTCTTGATACGCTAACTACTCCAACATTGTCGTGCGTCTCTCTCTCTCTCTCTCTCTCTCTCTCTCTCTCTCTCTCTCTCTCTCTCTCTCTCTCTCTCTCTCTCTCTCTGACAACTGCGATGCGCTTCGCCGAGACCTCGATAGAGTAGTGCTGAAGGCGCTCTTTTTGAACGAACAAAAATGTTCCCCTTTATCCCCCGACGGCGTGCGCGTGCGTGAGAATGCGACAAGGGACCGCTCGAAAGGGACCATTGGGTTGTTTGAATTTAAACGAAAGCGCTCTCAAAAGAAAAAGCTGACAGCGGCGGACTCGCCGACGACTCGCCGCTGGTGACCGCGCACCGACGCGCCCGTTGCCAATGAGGCGGAGGACGAGGTGGAGGCTGCGGTGGAGGGGGCGCTGCGTGGCGACGACGAGGTGGAGGTTGAGGTGTGGAGCAGGAGTCGGAGTCCGAGGCGGGAGCGGAGGCTCCGAGCGACGACGATGAGGGTTGCGCCGCCACCTCGGGGGGTTCCTCGGCCGCGCACCCCGCTCCGACGGTGGCCACGGAGGCAGAAGGGCTCCGATTAAAATTCTCCCATTAAAGCTAGCGCGCGATACACACAGCTAAAAGTACGTACAAGCTCGTACACACTGAGAGAGAGATTCGTTCAACGGCGACACGTGACGGACGGCTTCTTTCTCCGTCTCCGACTGCGCTGACGAGTGGTAGGGCCCCCGGGGGCCCTAGAAAGCGCGCCTCACTCTCCCTTTTCTCCCACAAGTGCCGACACTGCAAACGGGATGCCTAGTGCAGCAACACTACGGATTTCGGTTTCATTCAAATATAGGAAAACACTAGAGGGCCCCTGCGCGGGCCCCGCCCCCCCCTCGAGGGGGGCGGGGCCCTTGCGACGGAGAAGAGGCAATAATTGTACAGCAGCAGACGACGGACAACGAAGCAGTAGAGGCTTGCTAGGAAAATTGTAAGGCCGCCGTCAGCCGGGTTTAGATGTGTCTTTTTCGCGGGGAGGTGCCTTAGTGCCAGGTGCACCACATGTCTATGAGGTGTAATAAGCAAGACAGCGGCAGACAACGCGTCGCCACACACACAGAAGCACGCATATACTATGATACCCTCTCTCCTCTCTGTATAGCGCCGACGCCTAGTCGGAGGGCAACCAAGACGCGTCGCTGTCCTCGTCGGAGGCGCCGCCGACATCGGAGTCGATGCTGGAGGAGTCGCCGTCGGTGTACACCGAATATTGCCCAACGCACCCCGTCCCCACTCCCACCGCCAACAGCTGAATGCGGACGGTTTTGGGGTTGGCTGGTACCACAAGCGGGGCGGCGCAATCTTCCGGTCGGTGACGGCCGCGTGGAACAACAGCAACCTGCGGGAGCTCTCCGAGTCCATCGAGTCACGCTGCATCTTTGCGCACGTGCGTGCCGCATCGGGCTCTGTTATCTCCGAGGTGAACTGCCACCCATTCCGCTACGGCGTTCAGGCCTGGAGGTGCCGTGCCGACGCAGCCGTGAACCGCGTCTCTTCACCGTTGCTGTTGTCACAGGCCGTCTGCTCTTCCAGCACAACGGACACGTCGAGGGCTTTGACCGCATCAAGCGGCGAGTGTTCGCTGCGATGCGCGATGACGTCCGCCACCTGCTGCAAGCGACTCGGCTTCTGGCGCCTCTCGGTTCACCTCGCATGACCGCTGCAGGTGTACCACTGGGTGCAGGGCACTACCGACTCGGAGGCGTGCTTTGCCCTCATCCTCTCCCTCATCGAGCCAGAGCTGCTTGCCGGTGGCGAGTGCGTGCCAGTGGCCGCGGCCGACGTCGCTGGAAACAGAGCGCGACTCGAGAGGGCTATCACGAGTGCCAAGGCCCTCACCGCCGCCGCCCGCGGGGCGCAGGGCGGCAAGGAGACGGCAGCGACGACGACGGATACGGAGTCACAGTTCATGGAGGTCTCGAGGGACGACAGCTTCATATCTCTCGAAAAGGAGATCGCCTCCCTGGCGAGCGGGCCGCTGAACCTCGACGGACAAAAGAAGATCGTAAAGACGCTGCTGGCCAACAAGTGCGCAGCCGGGCCGCTCTTCTTGCTGAGGAAGCTGTCGGCGATGGACTCACAGCACCCATTCAGTCTGGTCAGGCAGCTCAAGGTGGGGGACGGCAAGGGCACCGGAGGGATGATCATCCAGCAGTTGTGCAACGATGCGCTCTCCACAAAGGGTGGAACCGCCCGCCACTGGGGCGAGCTCATCAGTGCCGCCGACGCCACAAAGTTCATCAAGGGAAACCTGGAGTGTGTCAAGAGCGCAAGCGGCTTCGACTTCTGGGAGCTCCTGGCACCGTCCATCAGCAAGCAAGACGGAATCCTGGCCGTCTCCAACGCCTCGACAGGCAAGACTGGCGACAGCCGTTGGGTCTTCCTCAACGCGAGGCCACTTGAGCTCATGCTCACGCCACTGTGGGACCTCTTCAAGCTGCTCGGGTACAGCAAGACCAGTACAGGATGCTTCTACGCTACCTTCAAGAACGTCATCTCGCGAACAAAGGTGATCGGCGACCTGCCGCCGGAGGACGCGAGGACCGAAGGGGTAAAGAAACTCCACGTTGAGGCGTGCACAGAGATCTTCCTGTGCTTCGCGAACGAGTACCGAGCCATGCTTGACCTGCAGCTGAGCGTCGCGGTCGCCAACGGGAGACCATCCACCTTCTACAACGCGAGCAGCACCGCGGGACAGCTATGGGCGAAGGTCGGGAAGCACATCAGCGACATCCAAGAGCAGGCAGCGCTCGAAGAGCAGGGCCTCTCCAAGCGGCCGCACAGCGGCGACCAGGCCGACGGCGGCCAGACAAAGCGGCAAGCCGCCGAACGCTGGCAGCGACAGCAGTGGCAGCAGCAGCAGCCGTTGCAGGAGCTGGGGCAGGCGGACGCGCCGGAGGTAGCCGCCACGCTGTGCAACGAATGCGGCGTGGAGGCCGACAACGGAGCCATCGACCCGAGCGACGGCATGTACTACTGCGCCACTTGCTGGGACGCCTACAGCTTCCTGCAAGCACGCTCCGCCGCCGACGCAAACGCCGCACGAAACCAGAGGGACGTGGCGACGCTGCGGAAGATTTTCCCCGGCCACTGCGCGTACCACCTGTACTACCACCACGTGCGCGGCCGTACTGGCTGCATGCGGGCGAACTGCGAGCTGCTGCACGAGCGCCCAGACGACCTCGATGCGGCCCTCACAAGGCTGGAGTGGGAGACGGCTCGCGAAGAGTGAGCCAGCCGCGCCGAGCGTGAGCGGACCTAGTCGCCACGCGACGCCGTGAGCGGACCCAATCGCCACGGGCGCCGAGCAGCGTGAGCGGACCTAATCGCCACGTGATGAGTCGTGAGACATACCGTGAGCGGACCTAATCGCCACGGTATGATGAGACGGCGTGAGCGGACCTAATCGCCACGTGATGTGTTGTGAGACATACCGTGAGCGGACCTAATCGCCACGGTGTGAGGAGACAGCGTGAGCGGACCTAATCGCCACGTGATGAGTCGTGAGACGTACCGTGAGCGGACCTAATCGCCACGGTGTGAGGAGACGACAGCGTGAGCGGACCTAATCGCCACGTGACAAGACACGCCGGAGCGGACCTAATCGCCACGCGACAACCGGATGGAGCGTGAGCGGACCTAATCGCCACGCGACGAGACACGACGTGAGCGGACCTAATCGCCACGCGACGGGACACGACGTGAGCGGACCTAATCGCCACGCGACGAGACACGCCGGAGCGGACCGAATCGGTTTCGCCACGCGACGAGACGACGTGAGCGGACCTAATCGCCACGCGACGAGACACGCCGGAGCGGACCTAATCGCCACGCGACAACCGGATGGAGCGTGAGCGGACCTAATCGCCACGCGACGGGACACGACGTGAGCGGACCTAATCGCCACGCGACGAGAAACGCCGGAGCGGACCGAATCGGTTTCGCCACGCGACGAGACACGACGTGAGCGGACCTAATCGCCACGCGACGGGACACGCCGGAGCGGACCTAATCGCCACGCGACAACCGGACGGAGCGTGAGCGGACCTAATCGCCACGCGACGAGACACGCCGGAGCGGACCGAATCGCCACGCGACAACCGGATGGAGCGTGAGCGGACCTAATCGCCACGCGACGGGACACGACGTGAGCGGACCTAATCGCCACGCGACGAGACACGCCGGAGCGGACCGAATCGGTTTCGCCACGCGACGAGACACGACGTGAGCGGACCTAATCGCCACGCGACGGGACACGCCGGAGCGGACCTAATCGCCACGCGACAACCGGACGGAGCGTGAGCGGACCTAATCGCCACGCGACGAGACACGACGTGAGCGGACCTAATCGCCACGCGACGAGACACGACGTGAGCGGACCTAATCGCCACGCGACGAGAAACGCCAGAGCGGACCGAATCGGTTTCGCCACGCGACGAGACGACGTGAGCGGACCTAATCGCCACGCGACGAGACACGCCGGAGCGGACCTAATCGCCGCGCGACAACCGGACGGAGCGTGAGCGGACCTAATCGCCACGCGACAACCAACCACATGAGCCCGTGACATACGGCACGAGCCGTGACATACTGCAGAGCAGCTGGCCTTGCATTCCAGCAAAGGGGGGGCGAACCCCACCAAGCCCGGGGCTGCTACGGCCGCCACCCTCCTACCGGGCAACGACCCCAACTTCGTCGATGGGCCTGTTTGAGACTCACTGGTATCGACTTCCCCGGCAATCGGCGCGATGGGCCTTATTTGGGCGCCGACGCTCGGGGTCGTCTGGCAACGGCACCGGGAGCTCGAGACGCAGCTCTCGGGGCCAGCCAACCCAGGAGTCGATTTTAGGACCAATCTCAATGACAATCGATATCAACATGAACGACGGGGACTCGGACGCGATGGATAATCGGAGATAGCCGCGCAGCGGCTATGTAGGTTATCCAACAACGCGAGGAGAGGAACCGACACAGAATAACCCCCACCGTAAGGTGTGGAAACGTGACGCGATGGCCGGATCATTACGTCCGTCCGTGCGCGGAACTCGTGTGTCGGACCCTCGCGCCCCCAGGCGCCCGAGTCCCGTTCTCGTCTGCCCCACCCTCCCTCCCTGGCAGACGGTTTGTAGTGTTCGTGTGTGTGTTCGAGCGTCGGGGCCTTATTTGGGCGCCGACGCTCGGGGTCGTCTGGCAACGGCACCGGGAGCTCGAGACGCAGCTCTCGGGGCCAGCCAACCCAGGAGTCGATTTTAGGACCAATCTCAATGACAATCGATATCAACATGAACGACGGGGACTCGGACGCGATGGATAATGGCTGTTTGGCGTTGGTCAAAGTGTGCTCTGGCAGCGACGCTGCAGCGCAGGCGCGGAGGCAGCGAGCTGTGACTGCGGGCGCGACCGTGGCGGTGGCAGGGGCTATGCAGGCGCACCCGGACGACGCAGCTGTCCGGTGGCAAGGGCAGAATTTGCGCGATCTTCTTGCCTGAAGGGATCCGGGCCGCGCGCGGACCAAAAGAGCGGCACGACATGAACTCGACGAAGAACCAGTAGTCTCCGTCTGTGGGATCTGGGAAGGCGCCATCTAGCTGGTTGTCTGAAAGGGGTTGTCTACGTTATAAGTACTGTGAATGCACACAGTTTAAAAATTAAAAAGTGAATACTGTGCGTACGGTCTACACACTACAGACTATGTCGATCTTGGGGTTTCACGTAACAAGTACGCACGCACAATCAACCAACCGACTTCTTGGTTATTGCAAACTTGCAAACTCGGGAGCACGATACTCGCTGCACGCGGCGGCCAAGGACGAGCACGTCAACGTCATCAGCACGCTGCTCTCTGCCCGCAGGTACTCTCCACGCGGGCATCGGCCCCGACACCCACACGCCCCGAGTGAGGAGAGTAGGCACGCGCGACGTTGGGGACGCTTGTACACTACCTTCGGTGCGAGTACACACCATAGGCGCACCGATCGCCAACGCCGCATGTAGAGTCATGATAGACGCTTTGCCTCTCCACTAGTCGTAGCAGCCTGTCTGAAGTCGCGGCGCCGGTGCCCTCGCATGTGCTCTGCTGTACTAGCCATCTTCGTTGCGCCCGCGTGTAGCGCAAGAGAGGGGTTTACTCTTCCTAGCGCAAGCGGCGCTAATGTAGTGGTGTGTCGCTTGCATCATGAAGTTGCTCCCTCCCCGCGCCGCGGTGGAGCTCCGAGATGCTCCGCGGTACGTTGTGCATAGCTGGTTAGGGGTAGTTCAGTAAGGTCACACTCTCTCCGATGTGTAAAAGATTTTGCCCCAGGAGGTCGAGCCTTTTCTTTCTCGCCTCTCCTGGCCCGTCCCTGCTGGGCTGTTCCTTTGTCCATGTTGCGCGGACGCCATCAACCACCATCCAAGATTGCCTGCGTCTCGTCGATGCAGAATATGCGCGCGCTTTGATTATCGAACTTTGCCAACAATATACCTACCACTGAAGCCACCTCCTTTGTCCCGGCCGTTTTATACGTTTTTGCGTGACTTGGACATCACGCCGAGGCCGAGGAGCAAAGGTCTTGCCATCCATGTGTGCTGCCGCCCCAGCCCAGCACCGCACCGCCCGCTCGCTACACCCTCCTCCAGCCCAGCCTCTCCTTCACTTTCGCTGCCGCCGCACACGGCCAACTTCACTGTGGCCGCGGGTCGCTCCTCCTGTCGCTCACTCTCTCGCCGCCCGTCCGACAACAGCATGCTCCGCCTCTTGCTGATGATCGCCTTCGCTAACTGCGCCACGCGCGGAGCGCCAATCCAGAACGACATTCCGGACGCCACAACCTCCGGCACCGACACAATCTCCGGGCCCGACGAGAGCCACAAGATCCTCTCCAAGGCAACATCAGCAACGGACACCAACTCGAAGGAGCGGCGGCTCGACGAGCCACTCAAGATCGGCAGCACGCTTCGATGCGGCACCCCGGCGACCTTCAAGTTCCGCAGCGAGATCGAGAACGCCCCAGCCGGCGACCTCGGCTCGCAGGAGGGCGTGACGTTCCCGGGTTTCGTCGCGGACGGAGACAAAATCCTCGACCTCAACATCCAAGCAGTCGACGGCGACGACTACGTCACCTACCGCGACTGGTGCCCAAGCGGCGGGTGCTTGGCCGGCGAGTTTGTTTCCATCAACTTGGCCAAGGAGAAGAGCACCAAGTTCCGCCTCACCTTCTCGTCGCCCACCGCCGCGCCCACCGCCGAGCCCACCGCGCCGTGCACCCGGATGAAGTGCACCACGACGCATGTGTAGGAGCGAGCACAGCCATACTACTGCTTCCAGAAAGAAAGAAAGAAAACAGCCCAGCCAAACGAGGGATGGGAGAAGGACAGGGTCCCCACCTGCACGAGCAGGATCTTGGAAGGACGATCAGGGGACAGGGGAACGGGAGTGGGGAGCGCTTCGCGACACGGAGGAGGTCACGCATTCCGACAAGCGGGAATTCTTGCGCCGCTGGGCGACTGAAGGGCGGCCGCTTCCTCACCGCCCATGGGCTGTCGTGAAAAGTTGTTCTGGGGGGGCCGCTCCGCGAGCTCCACACTTTCCGTGATAAGGTCAATACGACATGCCCTCAGCCTCACGCCTCAGATGAGTCGTTCACCCGTTTCTCGACGCGTTTGTGGGGGGCTGGGGCGGGGGGGGGGGGGGGGATTGGGTCTGGTACTGGCTGGTGGCGCTGAGTGCCTGAGTCGTCACACAGCGAACAGCGTGAGTCGTCACACAGCGATTCTGAAGGGACGCGGACCGAGAATTCTTCTTCCGGCCTGAAGGGCGGCGGAGTGCCTTCTCCGCGTCCATCCGCCCGACATGGGCCCCGTCGATGCAGCCACCCTCAAGGGTGATTGCCCCCGTCCCGCCACGGAGTTGCCCCCCTGCTCGGGACGCGCTCACCAAAGTGCGTTCGCCCTGCCGCAGCCTTCACGCCCGGCAAGACCATCACTCCGGGGCTGCTCAAGGTGCTCGAGGAGGTTGCGACGACTGGCAAGAGCAGGTACGAATGGGCTCTGCTCAAGCCGCTGCTCGCGGCCAAGATCGAGGCGGTGTGCAACGAGTACAACGAGGGCTGCGCTGACGTGCCGGGTGCGCGCCCTCCCCACTCACACGCGCCTCGCCTCTTCGCGTGCTTCGCGCGCGAGCAAGTCGGAGCGGCGTGGAACCGCGCAGGTCCCAACGGCGGAGAGAGCTTCGAGAGCGTGCTGCGGCGGCTGGTCGCGCTGCTGGACGAGTTCAGCGAGACGCCGTTCACGGCGCAGCGGCTGACCGAGCTGTTGCTCAACCCGCGTCAAATCTACCCGACGAGCACGCGCAAGCTGATGAACGCGCTGGAGAAGATGCTGACCGTCTCCTCGACCATACCCGTCATGGTCCTCGCCGCCGCCGCAGACGGCTCATACCAGCAGGCACGCGCTCGACGCACCCCACGACTGCGCCCGCAGCGAGGACTCTGTCTGGCAGACGGGCGCTTCCGGCTGATAGGCGGCGGAGCACGAGCTTGCAAAGCTCGCCACCGGCGAACAAGGGGGCGGAGGTGCGCCGAGGGACGGGGCGGCTCCCCCAGAGACACGCCTGGCCCTCCTCCTCCTCCCTCGCGCCTTCCCTCTCCTCCCTCGGCACATACGAGGGAGCGGTGGCAGTGGCAGTACTGACAGCCGATCGGCTCCCCCCCCCGCTGCAGGCGAGCCGATGGAGGTGTCGTGACGCATGGCCGGGCACTCGTTGCCGGATCGCGCTCTCGGGGTTCCAAGCGCCGAATCGTGGGAGGATGCATGGCGGAAGATGTATCGGAACTGACTAACACAGCGCCAGTGGTCTGTGGCTAGAGAATAGCGCGCTGCGGCGTACGAGCCATGGAGGGGGGGACGTATTGGGACTGTCTACGTGGGGTGTACGCGACCGAGGGGGGGGGGGGGGGTCCCCGAGGGGCAAAGGGCGACGCCGATGTGGGGGGGGGGGGGGGCTCCGCGCGATATTGTGTCAGCGACTCTGTGGGAGCTTCCTGCGCCCCCCCCGCGGGGCGTTGTCTTTTTACGTATGAGACACGAGAGAAATTACCCCCCGCCCCTGCCCCTGCATCTCTTTCCGTCTCTAAAAAAAGGGTCGTGGTGCGCACCGGCTCCTGGCCTCATCTCCACCATCCTCGATCGTCCTCTCTACTCTTCGCGTGCAGTGCACAGCTGCACGACCGCCGACAAGACGACTTTGCGCCACTTCACGCACTTGGCCACGGGTGCAGGGGTCAGTGTTCAACCTCTTCTTCGCGACTGTCCTGCTACGCACCGCGCACTGTCCTGCTGTGTGTCAAACTGGTCTTGCTTTCGTTGCTAGTCGGACGTCGAAAACCCTTTCCAGAAACCGGCAGTGAAGCCCGTGGCGCTACCAACGCCATTGTCTGAGAGCAAGCGCACAAACTTCTTCGTAAGAAAGTCGTAATCTTCGCGGTCGAACTCGCCATCCTTGTTGAGATCGAGCAGCGACATCAGGTCGCGCTCCATCTTGGTGTAGTTCATCGTCAGATACCCCCGGCTGTTGAGGGCACCGAGCAACGCGATGCACGCGCCGACAGAGACGGCCGCCGCATTCGAAGCAGACCTGGCGGCCTTCCCCGTGCAATACCCAAGCAGTCCACCGACAGAGGCGGCGGCGGCGTTGCTCTTGACCTTGAACGAGGGAGGAGGTGGTGCCGGCTTTGCCTTGCCACCCCGCAGGCGGAGCAGAGGGGAGGACGGGCACTGGTTCGGTGTCAGAGCAAGACCGTGCGTAAGAGATGCGGCGAGCAGCAGTAGTGTGCGAGTCAGCATTGGATGATGTGCGCGCCGCTTGCGAACGAGTCTCGCGACCCAGTCGTCCGGCGCCAGGGAAGTACGGACGTCCACCTATTTATTTTAGTTTCATCAGAGTAAAGTGAACCGCTCACGAGTTGTCGATCCGAGTTGTCGATCCACCTCCCGGGCTCTGGACAGGGTGGCCCGCCACCACAAACAAGAGGGAAGGAAGTGACCCCAGCTGGTAGATCTACGTGGCCGGAGTGTAGAACGCACGAAGGGGACACCGCCCTCACTGGTGCCTCATATGCTGCCTCCCTGCGGATGCTGCCGGCGAGCCTGGCGGTCCGCTGTACTACAAGGAAGTGCTGACTCGATTCTACCTCGAATTCTTCTACCCCCACGACTCGGAACGCGAATGTGACAGGACCATCGGGTCCTTCAGCCACCAAAGTGAGATCACCCGAGAGCAGCTGAGCCTGCCTCTGGCCTCGCCTCCCTCTCCTTCAGGCATTCGTGGCATCCTATGGGTCGTCCAGAGTATCGAACTCTGGCTTGTCAGCCGGTCACTTGATGACACCATGAAGTACAGCGATCGCCATCTCGCTGGCCTCTCCGCAGCCCCCCCCGACCGCGTCGAACTCATCGGCGCGGGCTCTCTCGGCTACGGGACCGGCCCCTGAGGGAGGGTGTAGAGGATGTAGAGTGTAGAGCGCTGTAGAGCTGTAGAGATGTAGAGCGCTGGAGAGCGCTGTAGAGCTGTAGAGCTCTACATCCGCCGCGTGACGATGTGAGTCGCCTGTAGAGCGATGTAGAGGCGCTCTACAACGTGAAATCTCTACAACAAACTCTACATCATAAGCGGCGAACGAGGCACGGTCGCTCTCCGACATGAGGCGCGTTGCACTTGCCAGTGCTGCCCTGGCCTTCTGTCTGCCCGCCCAATGGGTGGCAGGTGCCTCTGCTGCTGTGGCATGCCTCACGGCTGCGACTGGCCGGCGCCTCGGCGCGTCAGCTCGGCTCGGCGTAGCGATAGTGGCCAGCGCAACTCGCCTGGACTCAACGCTCAGCCAGGAGCTCCCGCACGCGCTGGCGCGAGGCATGGCGCATGCAACGCGTCTGAATGCTCGCCTCGCCTCGCGCAAATGCGACCGTCCTCGCAGCCGACAGTCCACCGCCTGCTAAAGAAGCACAGCGACGAATGCGGCACCGGCGACACATGGCAGGCTGGTCATGACGCAGTCATAGGGTGTTGTGTGCCGTCAGAGTGACTCTCTGTGTGTCAGGGATAGCCAGGGCTGTCCATCAGAGCTCCAGTAAGCTCGGAGACACCCCATTAGCGCGGCTCGACCTCTTTGAGTCACTGCCTTCCCGGCGGTTTGGCTGTAGAGCCTCTACAACAAACTCTACAGCAAAATCGCGCTCTACATCGCTCTACAGGCGACTCACATCGTCACGCGCCGGATGTAGAGCTCTACAGCTCTACAGCGCTCTACATCTCTACAGCTCTACAGCGCTCTACACTCTACATCCTCTACACCCTCCCTCAGACCGGCCCCAGACTGGTTGGGTAGTAGTCTAAGTTCTGAGCCTCGAGGCTTAGCGGGTCTAAGTGTGCTCTGGCACGCTGGGGTGCTTGCGCGGTCTAAGATCAGCGGGAGCCTCTTACATCGGCTAAGTCGGCCGTGGCACGGCCTGGGGCCAGGAGGCTCCCAGGCCTCCCACCGTGATCAACGATACGGCGCAGCCCCCAAATTTTCTTCGCCTGCGGCGGGCGATCGATCCTCTTCATGCTTAGCAATCGCCGCCTCAGCATCCTTCTCTTCCGAATTTCGTTGCTGCTCCTCTTCATTCTTGAGCGACGTCTAGCCAAACAGTTCCCACATGACACGAAGCTCCTCAAGCTTAATCAAACGTGTGACGGTGAAGCCTGGGTGTGTGCTGGTCCTCTTTGAACGATCCGCGCGTGAGGTAGCATAGGGCCTTGTTGGCAGCAGCCAGCTTGTTGCGCTGCTTCGTTGCGATGAGCTGATCGGGATCGCAGAAGCGCATGCCAAGCACCGCCTTGATCTTGTAGCAGAACGCCGGCACGACCGCATCGTCCGCACCGCCATCGGCAAGCCGCGCTCGCCGCTGCGCCGCAGCCGCGTTCTGGCACGCGTAGCGGCAGCACATGGTACGGTGCGGGTACTTGAGCAGGCGGTGCGCGCCGCAAGTAGCGCACTGGCCCTGGGAGTAGGCGTGCGCGGCATATGTGGGACGCGTCCAGGTATTTTTCGGGTAAACCTGGACTTTTGCAGGTACACCCGAGTTTTACCCGGAGTTGGCCTTATGTCGTCTAAGTTCAGGCCCCCCGACATACAGCTCGATCGGTCACACCGCCATCGCCGTCGGGGAGAGGGGGGACGACACTGCTTCGGCAGCGTGCACCTCGATCCTGTACCGTGTTTGTTATGACCCCCCCCAATGAACACACCAGTGAGGGAGGGCGAGACGATCGAGGGGTCCCGTACCATGCGGAATCGACCCTATCCAGTGCTCAAGTGCTCAAGTCTAAGTCTGAGCCCGGCTCCGTGCGGGGGCTAAGTTGAGCGCTCGCTCGCTGCAGAGGCTAAGTGTAGAGCGACCCTCTAGCCCTACTACCCAACCATTGGCCCCAGCTTCGGCTGAGGGCTGACAAGCTGCCGAGCCCAAATCACTGTGAGAGTCGTGATTTCTTGTTGGTTTTCTAAAATCTCTCGACACTGGGCACGGGACTGGCGCGCAAAAAGAATCTGCAAAGGCGAGCAAAAGAACAAAAGAAGAGTTCACGCCTCTCGCTGCAAGTACACTGCCGTCATCTCCCGTCTCGCGTCCACCCATACCGGTTACCGCGTTGGTGTCCAGTCCGAGCCTGCCTGGCTGTTCTTCACCTTGGATGGATGCATGCAAGAGAGAGAAGAGAACCGTTCTTGCTCCCTCTCCCACGGTCGCATTCCCATTTCTACCCACAACCAATCCTTCCCTCGTTGACCCCCACGGTGGCGTCTTCCGAGCCGACGCATGAGGGGACCCCGGGAGGGAAATTCCGGCCCGTTCCAGTGCGCATCGTGCGTCCCACCAATGGGAGGTGCGCGAGCTGGACCTCGCGCTCTTGCGGCCTAGGCGACATGAATCTGAGCATTATTCGGCGCTCCATGACACGCCAGAGCGCCGAGCGGCGCAGCTTGTCGTCGTCGTCGTCGTCGTCGCGCTCTTCGAGATCCTCGCGATCCTCAGCTCAACGGGTGCAGGCGATCGGGCCGCTGTCAGATCCCGACGAGGCAAAACTGGTGGCGCTTGCTCAGCTCGAGAATATTGCGGGCTGGGCTCTCGAACTGACGTGCAATGGCGCGCCCGACGAGGCGATGAAACCGACGGTTGGAGTCCTCGTTGGTCTGCTTTGGAGCGGCGCGGAGTCCGCTTCCGCCGAGGGTGCCGCTTGCGCATTGCGCTCCCTTGCCAACCGGGGCACCTTTGGTGATGCAATTCGCGAGGCGGGTGGCGTGAGGGCCTTGCTCAAGTTGATCCGAGCGCGCGACGAGATCGATTCAAAGGCGACAGAGGCTGCGGCGGGCACGCTCCTGCACCTCGCCATCCAGCAAAATGCAATCAAAGAGGAGCTCCACGCCTCGGGCGGCATCCGGGTGCTCGTCGGGATGCTTGAGGCTGGTAGCGACTGCCAGGCGGCCGATTACGCTTCCTCGCTGCTCGAGGTACTAACGCTCTGTGGCACACCCGAATCTGCGGCAGAGGTGCGAGCCTCAGTTGGAGACCTCGACGAGGCCGCTTCCTCCGCCGTCGAGGAGGACTTTCCTCATCTACACCGCATGCTCAGCCGCGAGCGCTCGCCCGCGACGCGGCGGCTTTGCACGCGTCGGGGTCTTGGAGCAGCAGCAGCAGTTGTTGCGCTGGCCGCTCTTGCAGCTCTGCTGTCGCACCCGACTTTTCCCCCGATAGAATCCGCACTGCTTGCGCCCGGTGTACCTCAGTTACCCGCCGCTTTCGATCACATCATGTTGCTGGTGAAGGCACCTTCTGTCCTCGCTGCCATGGCCGCGATGCTGGCATGGCTTCTGCTGTGGCCGAGACCAACCTGGTCACCTCGCACTGAGGGAGGCGGGAGGAGCTCCAGCGGCTACCCGCTTCCACGCAGCGTCGAGGAGGACCTGTTGACATGTCCCATCACCCACGAGATGATGCGGGACCCTGTTGTTGCCAGCGATGGCTTCACGTACGAACGCGCAGCGATTCGCGAGGTTCTGAGCTCGGCCGCCCCAGGCGAGGTCCTGAGCCCTCTCACGCGCGAGCCCCTCGCGCCGACAGTCTACTCCAACATCGTCGTCCGCCAGCGCATCGCTGCAGCCCGCGCTGCTGCGCGTAGAGCAGCGCCGGCTGAGGGCCGAACGGCTTGCACTGGGATGACAGTCACAATCGTTGTGAGCCTTCTTTTTCTTGTCAGTGCGGTGTCCCTGACGCTGAGATCGTAACCGGTTCCCCGTGAATGGGGGCAGGGTCAAGTGCGAAGTGGGCTCCGGCTGAGAGAACAGTTTGTGAAACAGGTGGCGTGTCAGGCGCATTCGTCGAGATTGTGTGCTGCGTGCGTGTCCTGGGTCACACTCACAGCGGTCTCGATCGCGGGTCGCCGTGCGTGGATGGTGGGTGCAATGTGCCGTGTGGTGGCGCGGGGACGCGCGAGCGGCGAGAGCGGCTGCCCAGCCGCCCAGCGGGGTAAAACAAAGCCGTAAGTACGTCAGAAAGCTGTGTACGTAAAGACTAAAGTGCCCCAGAGCGCGCGGCGAAAGCCGTTAGTCTAGGAGTCGCGAGTGCACACGGACCACACGCACACTACACACACAGATGCACACAGTGTGTATGCACGCGGTGTCGATATACGATATTCCCGCCATCTCTTTAGTTCTAGTCGTTTAGCGCGCGCTATGCACACACCTGTCACCGCTGGACACAGCCCCACTCCTCATGCACTGCTATGTCAGCTGTCGTCAGCTGTTCAGTCGGACGAACGAGACGGCTCGCGAGCCGTGCGGGTCGAGATCCGAGTCGAATCGGTTGAGCATCCACCGCCCAATCTCGGGCAGATCCGCCCGCTCCCACCCGTCGGCCAAGTAGGGCGGGGGCAGACTCGGCGGAGCGGTCGGAGGCCGAAAGGCAGGATTGCCCCAGGTGCGCCACAGGTGGCCGACCGAGCCGTCGTCGGCCTCGCCGAGCAGGAGGTACTCGCGCACCGTGGGGGTGTGGCGGAAGGCGTGCGACCTACTCACGAGGCGACGCCTCGGCGCCCACGGTGTGCAGGGCTCCTCGGTCGGAGGCGAGAGCCACCAGTCCACGCCCATCGGCATCCACGCGCACACCACCATATCCGGCTTGTGCTCGGCGAGCGCCTCCCAGTACCCCAGCTGCTCCACGCCGCGCGAGCGCGCGGCACGGACGCCGCCCGGCGCCGCTGTCGAGAAGTCGTCGCAAGCGAACACATCCGCGACCGCAGCCTCGCCCCTCTCGCCCGCCAGCGACGCGCGGAGATGCGCCACAAGGTGTCCGTCTGCGGCGCCCGCCTCGAGTAGGCGAGGCCGCCGCCCCAGCCGCCTGCCCAGCCGCGCGAGCCTGCCCCTCAGGTATCCGCCCAGCGCGCCGACGAGCTCGGTCGTGAGCAGCTCGTACACGCCTCTCCGCTCCATCCAGATGTTGAGCGCGTTGCGCCCCGCCACGAGCCCTCCCGCCGCCTCGAGCACCTCGCCGAGGGGGACACCGGCGGTGGACTCCTTTGGGGAGCGCGGCGGCGGCGGCTCGCGCGGCGGCGGCGGCGGCCACGCGCCATCGGGCTGACGCGTGCCAAAGATCTCGCGGATCTGGTGCGCGTGTGGAAGCGTGCCTGGATAAGCCTGCAGCGAGCGGTCCGCGGCCGGCAGCGTCGCACGCGTCTCGTCGCGAGAGGCGATGTAGGCGGAGCGCAGCCACGCTAGCAGGCGTGCGTTCCCGCGCCACCGCTCCAGGTCGCCCCACTGCTCACTCGGCAACAGCACGGGCCGCACGGCAGCCTCGAGCGAGTCGGCATCGGCCGTCGGGCTGATGCGGCGCAGGTGCGCCGCCAGCAGCGGCGCCAACAGCGGCCGCAGCGCGGCGGGGGCGTTGTGTGCTGCGACCTGCAGCCGCAGGGAGCTGGCAAGGCCGAGGAGGCCGGGCATATTGGTGGTGGGAAGGGACGATGTCGACCGCCGCGCAACCAGAGTATTGTCTTGCCCACAGCAACGGGTCGCTGCGGCAGTGCGATTACATTGTACCTGCTGCGGTGTTATGTAGAGGCCTCAGCTTCCCTCTGAAGACTGCTCCCAAACGAAGACCTTTGCTGCCGCCTTCCCCAGGGCCGCAACCAGCCGCAACCAGCGCCCCGGCGGTGACCTCCAGTCACCTGAGCACTGTAGCCGAGCGCTCAAGCGCAGTAGTCGGCTTGATCTCATGTCTCAGCGTGTGTCGGCCCTCCGCGGACAGCAATGCGATTGCACCCGGTGAAGTGCACATCAGCAGCTGTGTTCGGTCATCAACCGCTTTGTATCATTGACCTTGGTACACGGGACGAATGCATGCAGCAGTGCGCGCGTCGGCAGCGCCAGGCGAGCACACTGCTGCACGTTGAACCGGCGGCGACCCCAAAAGAAGACTCGGCGACTTTCGTCGGCACGCTGGTAGTGACCAGGAGGAGAGAATGGCGCCATTTCAAGGCACCGTCGGCGTGGCAGGGGAGGGGTAGAGCAGATCTCCCGAGTGGGAGTGCCTCCCATTCGGCCGTGGCGAGGCGTGAGAGCGCGCCGCGCTGAGAGTCTTATTTTCGAAGCTGAGGCCTCTAATCTGTTACCTTCTGTCTGGGCAGAGACAAGGAGGGCCCCCGCACACACGATCTCACACATACAGAAAAGAACGAACAGAAAGAAGGAAAGAAAACATGACGCAAGGGAGGGATGGGAGGACGGCACGCCGCCACCACACAGGGATTTTAAGGAGAGGTGTGTGATGCGCTAGCCGTCGCCCACCCTAGGGAGTCTGCCTCTTCCTCTCTCTTTTCGCAGTCTCTCGCCGCTTCTCGCTGCAACCTTCATGCCACCTCGCGGTCGTCCCACTCTCGTCGTTCTCTCCCTTGTCACTTCCTCCTCTGTCGCGTCGTTCTCTTCTGCCTCGTCCTGCGACGCCGCCGCGTCCCGGTCCCTTGTTCTCGCGGCTTCTTTTGCCTTTCGGCGCAACTCCGTCCTCCTCGCGGCGTATCCTGGCCCCTCGAGTCTATCGAGCGAAAAAATTCTTTTCCCTTCGCGGCAACGCGCATGGCGGCAAGGCCTCTTTGCGCGCCCGCCTCGTCACGCAGAAGACCAACGGGCGTCGGACCGCGGTGAGACCGCGCCGCCCTCCGCGCCCGCCCGCGCCCGCAGCGTGAACACATACGCGCGTCCCTCGCCGCACGGAAACATACGCGCCAGCCGCGCACACAGCCTCACATGCAGCGCAGACCGCATGCCCGCGCCCTGGGCCGCCGACGACCCGGTCGGGCGGGCTGAGCGGCCGCCGCACACCACCAGGCAGGCGCACAACCACCCGCAGCGCGCCGCAGCCCACCGCGCAGCCCTGCCAGCCAAGCCTGCGCCTCCCAGCTGCACAAACAGGCGCACAACAGAATACCTAGGTACAGCACACAGCACACACCGCCGGCGCGCGCGCAGCACACGCAGACGCGCGCGCGACCGCAACACGCACACGTACACAGCACGCGCGCGTCGCACGCCAGCGCAGCGCCACACACAGAGCACACTTCCCATCAGCAGCAGCAGCCTGCCACAATCCACATCTCACACACGCGCGCACACACTCCCCCCTACCGGCGCACGCATTGGGCGTCGCCGAGAGCTCCCAAAGCTGACTTGTGTGGCTGCCGTGTTCTGACTCATTTATTCTCCTTTTATCTTTTCTTTTCTCGCCTTTTTCCCTCTCCTTCCCTTCTCTTTCTCTTCCTCTCTTCTTCCCCCCCTCTCTTCCTTTCTTCTCTC